GAAATGTTACCAGTGCAGGTTGTTTGCGTCCTTGAAACTGTTGCCATAGTACATAAAGTGGTCAAAACCAACAGACCCTCCTACCTCAAAGATAAACTAACCACTCGAAAAGAAATACGAGATAGGTGCACAAGACAGGATAGCCTACTGCATTTGCCTCGTGTAAACTTTGAATGTAGTAAGAAGGGGTTTTCTTTTTTCGGCCCTCAGGAATACAATTCCTTACCTGAAAGAATTAAAAATTTAAGTTAGGCCTATAAGGCTTTCAGACAAGAAACAAAAAAACTGTATTTGTAAAATATAGGTTAGTTGTATTAGTTTTAGTTAAATTATTTGTTCTCTTTTATTATTGCATTGCAGAGTTTGTACTTGACTTAAGTTGTTTTGAAAAGCAGTGTATTTTTGTACTGAAAACCGCTTAAAATAAAAGACGTTTCTATTCTATTCTATTCTAAACATTAGACTTTGTAGGCCTACGTTACTGTAATATACCAAAAAAATAAAAAAATTGAAGAAATAATACATTTTTAGCGAATTTCCCATATAGGGAATAAGCTATTACCGTAGTACTCATGGTAAGACCTGGACCCGGGACCGATTTACTTTTTCGTTTTGAGGTCCCTAGAGACCAAAAACACCATCTGTTCAAATTCATATATATATATATATATATATACAGGGTGTTTTTTTAAAAACTTGCATCTTTATTTATGTAAAAACCGCAATAGATAGAAATATGCAGTTTGCGGGAATCATCTATTGACGTAGAGGGCCCAATTGTTTTGAATTCAACGTTACATTCACATTCCCCCCCTTTCCCCCCCTGCCCCCAACTTATTTTTTTTAAATAGCAAGGTACCCCTTGTGACATATCAAATAAAAGAGCATAAAAAAAGAAAATGTTTGATGAAAAAAAATTGAAAATCGGTTCATAAATGTGAGAGATATTCCCCCCTCCCCCCCCCACGGAACTTAATTTTTTTTTAATAGCAAGGTACCCCTTGTGACATATCAAATGAAAGAGCATTACAAAAGAAAATGTTTGGTGAAATTTATTTTTCATTTGATATGTCACAAGGGCGGGTACCTTGCTATTAAAAAACAAGTTATGGGTAGGGGGAAAGGGGGGGGATTATCTCACAAATTCATGAGCCGATTTTAATTTTTTTTTCACCAAACATTTTCTTTTTTCATGCTCTTTCATTTAATTATGTCACAAGGGGTACCTTGCTATTAAAAAAAAATTAAGTTCCGGGGGGGGGGAGGGGGGAATATCTCTCACATTTATGAACCAATTTTCAATTTTTTTCATCAAACATTTTCTTTTTTTATGCTCTTTTATTTGATATGTCACAGTGGGTACCTTGCTATTTAAAAAAATTAAGTTGGGGGCAGGGGGGGAAAGGGGGGGAATGTAAATGTAACGTTGAATTCAAAAAAATTGTGCCCCCTAAGTCAATAGATGATTACCGCCAACTGCATGTTTCTATCTATTGCGGTTTTTACATAAATAAAGATGCAAGTTTTTAAAAAAACACCCTGTATATTCATATATATATATATATATATATATATATATATATATATATATATATATATATATAAAAAGCTCAAATACCACTGACTCACTCACTCATCACAAAATCTCAGAAACCATAAGACCTAGGAACCTGAAACTTGGCAGGCATCTTCCTTTTGGGTAGTAGACACTCACTAAGAAAGGATTTTACCCTCCAACCTCTGGGCTCCGCCCCAGTGGCTCTGGAGTTTCCCATGTTAACCTTATGAGTACTGATATTTAAATCGAATTAATGAATCTTAACAGCTGTTTCAATTAAACTAGTTGGTTCTGTTCTATTATGTTCAATAGCATTAAAGTTACAAGGATTCAGGGTGCAGCACTATTATTTCTTTTACATTTATGACAACAGCTAATTTGCAACCAAAAGGTGAGTGAGCGTAGCGAACAAACTTCAACCTGGAGGCGAGTTAGCGTAGTGAACGAGCTAACCTGAAGGCAAGTGAGCGCAGCAAACGAGCTCTAACCTAAAGTGAGTGAGCATAGCGAACGAACTTCAACCAGGACGTGAATGAGCCATGCGAACGAGCTCACTTATGAAGTTAAACGGGGCAAAGCCTGCGGGTTCAACCAGGACGTGATTGAGCCATGCAAACGAGCTCACTTATGAAGTTAAACGGGGCAAAGCCCGCGGGTACAGCTAGTATACAGGGTGTTTGTGAACTCTCTCGAAAAAATTCACAGGATTATTCCTTGGGTTAATACATGAATATTTTACATTATAAACATGGGTCGCCGGAGCCTCGTTTTCTGTCTGTCTGTCTGTATGTGTTTTTTATAAATAACTTTATAACTCGAGTTTGAATCGAGGTACAAACTTAAAATTTTACACACTTGTGTATTTTAACGTGTTACACAAACATGCAAAATTTCATTTTGTTGACTATAGCCGTTTCAAAATGGCGGCCATCTAAAATCTTTGACCTCAAATTACATGAAAACCACTAGAGTTACAAAAAAAACACAAGAAAAACAAAATTTAGAAAATTTTATGCCAAATCTAATGACACCTAGATCTTAAAGATCGGACAACAAACAGCTGAGTTATAAACTTTTTAAATAATTAATAATTTCTTTACTGGCTTTTAATTGTTATTGTTTATTCTTTAAAATCATCTGATCCTTTCTAAATTGTCACAACAATGTAAGACAGCTGGTTGGACATATGATTTTGAGATGATGATCACATGATTATTTTGATTTATTAATTTTTTTATAATTAATAATTTCTTTACTGGATTTTAATTGTTATTGTCTATTCTTTAAAATCATCTGATCCTTTCTAAATTGTTACAACAATGTAAGACAGCTGGTTTGCCCTAACAACTACATTTAGTTTTTTTACTAGATGGTAAATGTATTAAGTGTCCTATTTTTACCTTAACTATTGAGATCTGTTTAAGGTTACATAATGTACTCTGTATCAGATGATTTTAAAGAATAAACAATAACAATTAAAAGCCAGTAAAGAAATTATTAATTATTTAAAAAGTTTATAACTCAGCTGTTTGTTGTCCGATCTTTAAGATCTAGGTGTCATTTGATTTGGCATAAAATTTTCTAAATTTTGTTATTCTTGTGTTTTTTTTGTAACTCTAGTGGTTTTCATGTAATTTGAGGTCAAAGATTTTAGATGGCCGCCATTTTGAAACGGCTATAGTCAACGAAATGAAATTTTGCATGTTTGTGTAACACGTTAAAATACACAAGTGTGTAAAATTTAAAGCTTGTACCTCGATTCAAACTCGAGTTATAAAGTTATTTATAAAAAACACATACAGACAGACAGACAGAAAACGAGGCTCCGGCGACCCATGTTTATAATGTAAAATATTCATGTATTAACCCAAGGAATAACCCTGTGAATTTTTTCGAGAGAGTTCACAAACACCCTGTATATATATATTTATATATGTGTTTGTTAGCGCGATAACTCGAGCAAAAATCAGCCAATTTTGATGAAATTTTGTACAAACGTGTAAACCTACGTCTATTCGAACGAGTTCGCGAACCAGCATGATCGGACTATGGGAGGTCTATGGGGGGTTTTATGGGGTAAAAATTGGTTTTTCCCATTTTTGACCCTAAAAACTTAAAATTTAGCAATTTCTGTATATTGAAGCGTTATTATGCGCCTAATGGAGAAAATTCCAAAAAACTGTAAATTTAAAATTCCCATGTTATTCTTATGGAGAATTAATAAACTGATGTAGTCAAATTTGGAAATGCATTCATTTTATACTAAACTATTAACATTTTACAAAAAAAAACCTTTTTACTCTCCCTGTTGCAGCAAACCTAAGTACTCATTAAACTAATGCTATTTAAATAGGGAATAAATGATATATTTTTAAGGAGACATTTTAGTGTAAATCCAATCAGGCAAATGGAAATTCGCTTAGTCTGCAGGTTTGCTGCGGCGGGGGTATTGTTCTTATTTTTGAGCCTATTTTAATTTATAAAGGGATTCTGCACATCTAAAGGAAAATATCTTTCATTTGGTACCAACCGCGTGTTAGTCGGTCCAGTAGTACGGTCAAGCTAGCTTTCACAAGTTTTGAAAAATTTTTTTGGTAGGCCTTAGCCTACGTTTACTTTTTTTTACGCTTATTGGTTAAACAAAAAATATTGTAAACTGTGAATATTGTAACTGCAGATTGCTTGTTAATGGATATATTTTGATTAAACTTGGTAAATTTATTTATTTTATACTAAGCTATTATTAGTATTCTACTAAAACATACTTTATTATCCTCCCTATAGCAGCAAACCTAGGTACTAGTTAAAACAAAAAAAAAAAAAAAAAATTATTGGAAACCAAATCAGGCAAATGGAAATTTGCTTAGACTGCAGGTTTGCTGCGGCGGTGGTTTTTATGAAAGAAACAGTTTGCACATGTAACTTACCAGTAGATGTCCAGTAGAAATACCTTTGAACAGCTGTCATTTTATCGACCACTTAGAAATTTTGCTGCCACTTAGGAGTTTTGTCATGGGCCGTCCCCTTAAAGGGATATAAAAGTAATAATAGCTTAAAAGAGAAGACATTTATGCTTATTATTGATATACTAAGTATCATTATTTTATCTATAGGCTAATGGTAAGAAATATATCATACCGTTCCGAGACTTTGCAATCACCCTGCGTTGTCAATGGTTTCAGCTTACCCAATACTTACTTTCCCAAAGCCTTACCTCAGATCTGTTGAGCACTCTGGGTGTAGGCCCCTATAGTTCTTAGATAAGTTCTTAGATTATCTCTGTGACAAATTTTAGCTAATATGGCTCATTGATTTTTGGGTGCTGAAAAGTCGGACATATTTCATTGTTATGAAGCTAAAGGTGGTGCTGTAACCATATGTTGTATGCAATTGATGTAATATTTATTTTGACATTTAAATGCCGTGTTTCATTTTACAGATAGGATTTTTAATTGGAGAAAAGCACAGTGTAACTACGCAAACTGTGAGTGATGCAGAAATGGAAGAAGAAAAAATTGAAACCACCATAAGTAAGTTATATAGGCTTTTAAAACATTTTGTTTATATAAATGAAACCGTTAATGTCACTTGTAGTGTTAAACAATATAAAATCCAATCTATAAAAAATTATCAAAAAAAAAAAAATAATTAGTTCACATTTTGACTGATTTTAGGATTTCATTCATAATGAGTTGACTGTGAAATATAATAAACCCAGATTTATTAGGACCCAGTGGCGGCTAGACCATAAGGACTCTCGGACGCCGCCCCCCCCAACAATACAGAGATAAATTACTTTTTAATATTCTTCAGTTAAATTAAATTAATAGTACTTCAACGAGTACTTTAAACAATATCTATACTAATATATAAAAATGAGATGGTGTGTGTTTGTGTGTGTGCCTGTCTGTTACCTAATAACGCAAGGATTAAAATAAAATTTCGTATGAAGGTAGCTTATATGCCTGGTTAACATATAGGCCTATTTCTGTTATTATATTTCCCTTGAGCTACGCCCCATGGGCTTCCAAAGTTTCGATGTTTACATTTTGGAAGAATGTAAATAGTACTAAATATTAATTGAAGTCAGCTGTAAATAATATAATTTGACAGTTCAAACAGCAGAGGTTAAGAGGTACAGGTTCTGCTCCCAAGATTCTAATATTTTATGATTATGAGAATAGTTTGATTTATGAAAATATACTTATTTTCATGGAAACAGAAGGATCATTACAATGCATAAATTTTTTGGAATAATTTTTATTGGTAGCTTTTTGTTTTAAAATTTGAACTAGCCTAATAAACAAATGTTTGGGTCAGGATTAATAGGTTTTAAAAACTGAAAGATATATTTACAGTTCTGGTACAGTTTTAAAAATTTAACTCACTCAATGTTTACACTTTTATTTGTGTTTTAATTCAATTTACAAACGAAATTTCAACTATACCTACTTTTATTCTGTCCAGAGGTAACTACTACTTATATTTCACATTCGCTTTTTTTACATTTACAGAAGTCTCCTTAGCAGTTGTGTTTTTACAACACTGCTTTAATTTGACTATGGAAAATATCACAAAACTAAGCTGCACGCAATCCACTTTTGTTTCTAAAATCAATTAAATATCTAAATAACGTAACTATATTTCTTTAACTTATTCTATGTTTTAAATAATTATGTAAATTAATGCAAATACATACACGTTTTGAACTATGTAAGGATTTAAAATAATAACTGTTATGTATTATGTTGTTGATTTATATTTAAATTAATGAAATTTGTGCCCTGATTAACAATAGTAGTGGTAGGCTATCTAACACAAGGTAATACAAGTTTTCCATTAGTTTATTTTTGAATTGTGATATACACACTGATCTGCAGGTAAAGATTGAACTTTGAAAATAAGCACAGTAGTTACAGTAAAAAACATATTAATTGTGTGTGAAATCAATATCAACTGTTTTTTTTTCTACTTTTTTTTTTTTTTTTTTCTATGGTTCATTATTTACAAAAATGCATCAGCGCCTCATATAATTCGTACTAGGTGGTCTTATGAGGTAGTCTAGCCTTAAAGAAAGATATTTTTCAAACTAAGAGTTTCAATTGAGTTATGTTCCTGAAACCAAGGGGAAATGTGTAACTATTTTATACAACGGGATTCATGATCAAATTTTTTTGCTTCAGTGTCCTCTCCGTTGTGAAGCACGGGTACAACAGCTAGTACAATATAAATATATCAAATAATTGGATACATCAATTCAGTATTTTTTATCGTCGCTTGCTTAGTAAGGACGGGGCGCGGACGGTGGCCAGACCGTCCCAATCCCAATACATGTATTCTTATGGCAGAACAACCGAACAGCGCTTAGGATGCCATGACGTCATTCCAATGCTTTAGTATGGGCGCTTTGGGGCAGAGTCCAAAGTTGCGCGCACACTCTTAAATCAGGGCAGCCACCACAATCTGGATATTCTGTATGGCAAGTTACCGTTATGATGATGGGTAGAACTGATGTTGGCGCATTTGTTTGTCATAACTCAAGCCATCTAATTTCTAATTGTCATTTTGGTTTGGTGTTGTTGTTAAGTGATTAATGAATAGTGATGTAAGAGTAGGCCTACTGTTTGTGTGTATGTTTAAGTAAAATACTAACTGTTTACTTTATTAAATTGATTTCACACCCAGTTTAGTTAAAGGAGGGCCCTGGATTTCTGGTTAATTGATATTATTGAAGTACAATAGGTTTTTAGGATACCGGTATAATTTAAATGCAACTAGATAACCCGTTGCTCTAAATCGAGCAAAACTGTAACTTGTAATAAAAGAATAAAGAACAAAAACATAAACAGCAAGACCTCAATCAAGGAGTACTAAAGTAATTTCTATGACTATTCATAGGAATATGAAATATATTATGCTGTAAAAGTTTTTAATAGTAATCTTCAATATCTATATATATATATACGCTCTCATACTGCTTTGGTTATCTCTTTATGTACAGTAGGCGGGTGCCCTCTATGAGTATGTAGATGTCAACCACACACTGTAAAGTGAGCTTTTCCGAAATAATGTAGCAAACTAAATCATTTCTTGACGCCTACCAGTAAGACACGTACTTTTGCATTGTTCAATTATTTCTACGATATGTTCTGTTTTAGGCGTGTTTAAATTAGGGGCCCCAACCAAAGTCTCTGGTTGGGAACTTAATATTTAAATACAATTAACAGCCTTGAAAACATGTTTAAATGAATATATATATCATAGGATAGGCCTATGTGTGTTGGTATAACCAATTTGGGACAGTTTGTTTTCAATTCTTTGACAAACAAGGAATGATGTTAGGCTTTCATCTTGCTAATATTATAAATGTGAAAGTTTGTGTGTTTGTTTGTTTGTTTAAAGTTCAATCACGCATTAAATACTGGTCGGATTGGGTTCCCGATTAACGTATAGACTTATATTCTTATCTCAAAACTCCGTTAGGGCTCTTCTGCCCCAGTGGCTATGAAGTTGCCCATGTTAACCTTATGAGTATCCTTATATATAATTCTGTAAGACAAAATCTTTACCAGAAAATTTTGGACGTCTGGTAAGTCGCAGAGAAGTGGGAGGGGTCTTAAATTAAAGGTCTTGACCCCAGGGACTCGGGAAAAATAGCAGAATTTCCATAAAGTTACCAGAAAACGAGATATAACGTAAAATGTTCTCCATAAGAATAGCATTAAAAGCCATTTTCTGCTAATTTTTGTTTACTTCATACAGCTGATTGTGATTTATCATCAAGCCAGTACGCAATGTTAACATTTGGATTATACTTATTTGCCAGTAAGTTCAGCAATATACTATATAAAACCAGGGATAACGTTACCTATAATAATTAAGACTTTTTAGTTACGTTATATAGAATATGGAAATATATTATTTTACTGTGAAACTTTTCAAACTTGTGTTTAACAAGAAATAACCACATTGAATAAATAATTAACGAGCTAAACCAGTATTTATTCACAACCAATTATATGTTTGCTGCCTTTATAGTGTGGCCTTGCTTTAGCAGAGTTAAATCTATGTAGTGATTTGAATGATTTATTGAAAATAACATCAACAAAGACAAACAACAAACTGTTTTTTACACAAAAGATATGGCATATATACAGGGATATCTATTCTGACACATAGATAATATATTTCTTTGTTTGTTTAAATATTTGAATAACTTTTTTTTTATTATTGAGCATTTTAGGGACTTATGTCCCTACAAGCCACTAGTTCATAATTAAAAGGGTTTAAAGACTTAAATCAGCTGTTTCAACTACAAAAGTTGGTTCTATGACATTCAATAGCATTATAAAGTTATAGAGTTTACCAACAGGATGCAGCACTATTATTATTTTTTTTATTAATGGCAACAGCTAAATTTTAGGTGCACTGGTAGAACACCACAACCAGCTATGATTTGTGGTAGCTATGATAGATGAGCTATACTATAGTATACCGTAAATTTAAAGAGCAAAATTTTCTTAAACCGTATATCCTCTCCCATTGCATACGCAAAGTACGAGTATAACTGCAATAACAATTTTATGCTTATATGCCAACCCCGTACGAAGGGCGGGTACTCTGCTAGTTTATATATAAAAATATGCAGAGCCCTCCCACCACCTATGCCCACCAGCCGCTACTGTTAGGACCTTTATAATCTCAAACTTAGGCCTAGTTGATTTGTAAGAGGTTGTCCAAAGAAAAAGTTACAAGTTTCTGTAAAAACATTCCCCATTGAGTTTTGCCCCATTAACATAATATGTCCCTTAGTAAAATGAACTAAAATGATTTAGAAATAAGAAAATAATTTGTATAATTTAGTTAAAACCTTTGGTTTGATAGCTGTATTGAATAATAGAACGACATTTGCTACATGACAATTAGTTAGCAGTAGAGAGTGATACAAATGTCTTCATAAGGGCTGAGTTTAAAACTTTATATAAAACATAATACAGTTTAGTTCATATGTAACTTATTTGTTATTATTTCAGACGTTAATGGAACTTTTCCTGTGGGACTCCCAGTACTACTTTGTAGTCCTCTAGGCAGAATTGATGAAGTCTCATTGAAAGAGATGCTCGAGAGCTGTGAAAAGGTGTGGTTATAATGTTTTTAGTTAAGTCATCTAGTTACATGTTGCAAAATGTTGCAGAACATTTCAACACTGTGATATAGGCTAGTAATCATTCATTTAACAAGGGTTATTCTAGCCCTTTTAACACTGAATTAACTGAGTTTTAACCCTTAAATTTACCAGAATGTTGTGTTTTTTAAATTGATTGTCTTCAAATTCTTTGTAAAAAATATAAACTAATATATATATATATATAAAACATCACCTCTAACTATAATTATTTATTTATTTATAATATTTGCATTTATATTTGCTTTAATCAAGCAAAAAAGAAAAGACTTTTGGTAATTTGTTTGTAATTTATGTTGGGTCTCTTTGCAGGATGTGTTGGGGTGGTACAGTTTTAGAAGAAATTCAAACCATCGACCTACAATGCGCGAAACCATACTTCACAAAGAACTGTGCAAGACATTCACTCACATTATTCCTCAGTGCTTTTTGTTTTGTGTAATCACAACATCAGATAATGATGGAAACGCCACTTACTCTCATAAGTTTACATTTTCAACGTTCAACCGAAGGTAAATAATAAAAAAAAAAACATACCTTTCTATAACGTAAAATAAATCAACTAGCCTACTAAAATAAAATAAAATACCAACTGCCGCAAAGTTATACCATAAAATGTTAACATATAGATTAACAATATATATATATTGTAAATCGTACCCCTTATATATAACTTCAGGCTATAGAAAGGAGCCTTATGGGTCGTTGTTGATTAAGTGTTCTGACCTTTAAATTGTGTGCGTAAAAGACTACGTAGGTAGTATTAGTAGTAGTAAACTATTCAGGTAGAGTATGTAGTACTTGGGCAAAACAATTAGGTAGGCCTAGTTACATTAAAAAATATGTTACTTACAGCATATTGGTGTTTGTCTTGCCGAGTGGTTGCAGTTGGGTAGTCGTCGTGCTTGCTCGTCTTCAAATCTGATGGTCTCTGGTTTGATTCCATGCGAGATTGTTGTCTGGTCCCAGATACATTGTCATTACGCTGTCAGTTGATGATGCTACCTAACAAAACAGTGTTATATCATAGTTAGAAGACAAGGGTTTGGACCGTTCCCTAAAAAAACCACCAAACTGACAAAAACTTTCTCCCATTAGTCTGACATGGAAATTGAACTAACATCCTACTAATTCTACTGCTATAAGGAAAACAATTATAATGGGCAATGGGGGGAAAAGTACGGTTTTTTATTGAGAAATATTCAAAAATTGAAATCTATACTTATTTAATACGCAAGCAGGTTTTTTGTGACAATTGCTCCTCCGAAACTACTGAACCGATTGACATGTTTTTGGTGTCATTGGAAAGAGTGTAACGTGAAGTTGTGCAGGAAACTTTATTTTTAGGGAAATAATTAGAGAGTGAGGCCTTAGGGCCCTTTAAAGTTTAGTATTTCTCCATAAGATTAACATGGGAAATATATAAAGTGATAGTAATGCATTAAGAGATCTTCATTTAAATAATCAATAAGCACAATTGAGCCTTTGCCTATATGTTTCCTGGTAAGTGTGTTGTAACTGTTTCTTGTAGTATATTATAGTAAAACAAAATTATTATTTTCTGCATTCTCACCCCGTAGCAAAGCACGGGCAGAGCAACTAGTTACCTTTAAATTGTAAAATGTAGGCCTACAGCATTGAGCAATTCTGTTCATGGTGAAAAGGATTGTAGGCTAATGTACTGAATTGTAATAAAAATTTTTCTGAGCAGTTTTTGTAAAAATGAGATTTTTCCGTTATTTTATGGGAAAATTGCCATTAAGAAATCAAAAGAACAAAAACGCTCAGAGATATCATGAATGGTACCCACAAATCACCAATATCAGGCCAAACCACTTTAATCCATTGGGGTAGACACATGGGTCTGACTCGATGCGCCCGATCAGGACTGAATGCCGACACATGAGTCTGACTCGTTGTTCAGATTGCACAATAATTTGACAACGTAGTTCGTTGCTTTTCCGATAGATCGCTCTGGCATGTTCTTTGACTGTCTTTTAGCTGTATTAGGATATTTAGTTTTGCCCGGTTGGTTGTCTTTGTGTCTTGGAAAATATTTATTTTTAGTGCCCGGTCGCCTGACTGTCATCGACGAGTAATCTGTCGTGCTCGTTTTGAATGTTCTGTATGTGTTTGTGGTTATGTTTCTTGTGTAAAATGGATCATAAAAGTTTACGTACTTCTGAATTAGATAAGTTATTAGACAGTGACAATGTTCTAAGTTCAGATGGTTGTTAGTGATGATGGATTTGATGATGAAATCATCCAGCACGGACATAATTATGAAACACCGGTGGATTATCTTTTGGATACGTCTCACGGAAGGAAATCGCCCGTGGTATGTTATAACTTTTTACGACGATTATTTTCCTAATTCAGGTAATGAATTAGAGTTAGGTAGTCTTCAGAATGAACAAGATATAGAATGTAACATGACCGAGAATGAAAATGAGCTAGGCTGTTCTTGACCTAGATACTGAAAATGAAAACAAAGCAGTTGACTCTGCCTCCCAAAATGTTATTGATGAAGGCCAATCTATTGAACCTGTCCCTAATACTACTTTTATGGCCAATCCATTGATCCTGTCCCGAGTATTAGTTTTTATGTACAACCTGAATCAACCACAGTAAAGAGCAAATTTTCTGAAATTTCAAGTTCCAAGCCTAAGGAATTCCTACAAGTAAAGTTTGCAAACCCAAGCCAACTAGGCCTAAGCCTAAGGTTACTAAAATATGTAATCCACCCCAAAAACTAAGCCTGTAACTAGGCCTTTGTCTAAGTTTCATAAAGTAGGTAGACCAGCCCGCAAAACTAAGCCTGTAAAAACACCTAGGCCTAACAAATCTAGTACCGGTACCAAACCACTGAAGGCTAAGAAACGGAAGTTTGAAGACAGCGACTGGCCTTGGGTTGATGAAAAAACATACCCAAAAATATTGATTTTGATTGAAAATATCGACAGATCGCTGCAGCGCGACGACCAAAGCCCGTGTGAACGCTCTTATATGGCTACGTGTACTGCTACACCGCTAGAGTTATTGACTAGCTAGCTGCAACACTTGGCTGGAAAACGGGGCCTGGCGATGGTTTGCAACGCCAAGCTTCATTGCAGCTTGATCGCCTTTGCGGTACGCTCGTTGTGAACAGCTCCATTTGATCCTGTGGTTTGCTACCTAGTCCTGCTTACCTGGTCACAGCCTAGTCAGCTAGATATGTTGCTCTTGTGAATTATGTGTAAGACGCTGTGTTACTGTAGATATGCTGATTACTGCATATTATGCTTTTTTTTCATTCTCATCTACGATATGGTATAACCTTATGGGTCAACTCTTGCAGTGCACAGACTGCTCTCGGATGGCAAAAAAGGCACTGAGAGCAATCAAGAATATACCACAAAGACAGTCTTTTAAACCAAAGACTTACAATTATATTCAAAGAATTACAAATAATGACTTTCCCTAATGTATATAAATGTATATACTGTTGTCTAACAGATGTTAAGGAGTCTTTGAAAAATTTTACAACTAGAAACTAAAATCATCAGTATTATACTAGGAATAACTATAAATTAGATTTAGCTTATGTAAGATTAGAACAAACAAGGAGCAGCCACACATGTATGAAGATAAAACTATTAAATAAATTGCCAAAAAAGGCATGGATTGTACCCTTTAAACAATTTGTTTCCATTAAATAATGGTTTAAGGAAAATTTGTTTTATTCCATAGACGATTATCTGGCCTGTGATATTAGTTCCCTCTGTTTTTAGAACATCAATGTTAATATATTTTCACCACACTATGATGTTTTTGGCTGTATTACATACGTTAATTGGTGGCTGAAAGTTACGTTTTGCTGGCCATGCCAGCTGTCATCGTAATTTGGGGACCGAGCAGGTTTTTACAGGCCGGGGCCGCAAAATCAGCTGTCCGCTTACTTACTTAAAATATGAATGCATTTTAAATACACAATGAAAATCCATAGCATTTCAATAGAATTGTGTTATTGTCACCGTTGCCTAGCAACTATTTATTTTTATTTTTGCTGATTCCTCAAATTATTTCTTCACATAACCTTAAAGTTGTAGTTGTGTTGACTATCAGTGTGCATTATTATAGTGGTGAATAGTGGTAATAGGGTATAGTGTGGTGAAAAATAGCGTTCGTACCACGGACCGAAATGGTTTTGAAGCTCTCGATTGATTTAACCCTCCCAGTGTTACTTGACGAAAATTTGGCAAGCACCACACTTTGTATAGTGTTACTTGCCGATTTTTCGACAAGCAGACATCGTTTACGGCGAAGGCTCTATAACTGACTGAATCGGATTGAACTGGATCGAGTTAGGTATCGTTCTTTCCGTTACATTCCAAGCTGTCTCCAGATGTCTGTCTCAGCGCTGTATTTTTCTCCTAGCCGATCATAATTGATGCAGACAGCTGACGTTCGTGTTTCAGCCATCTTGGTTATTTTACGTCGGTGCCTTGTGTGTTTTAGTACGTTTATCTTCGTTTTTAGTGGTAAAAATGGACAGTAGTGATATACGTGGTGCATTATAAGAAGATTTAAGTGGTTTTGAAGTGCTGGTTGATGATCCTGAAGAAGTAGGTAGTGATATTGATGTAAATTATCAGCCAGATTCCTAGCTATGGTTAGGCTATGCATTCTTAGCTAAACGCTATGTACTGAAATCCGTTTTTCGCTCATAACTTATTTATTTGATAACTTACCTCGCTATATGATTATATATTTGTAATCCTCATTAAATTTAGAACAAAGTGGCTATTTTCAAATATTTATAGGCCTATAATTTATACAATTTCATTGAGCGCGAACTTATTTTTTTTTTGAAAATTTTTGAAATTATATTTTTTTTTACCTAAAAATTTTTTTTTGAAAAAATGTTCCTTATGTTTTATATATAATATTGAAGCCCATGATTTTCCAAACAAAATGGTATATAGAACATTAGAATTAACATTGTTTTAAGCTTCTCAGATCCGTTTTAATAAAACCTTGCAAAGGGGCCAAAAATAGGTGGACATTAAGGCCTAAACTATGGACACTCGGAGGGTTAAGTTCTCGACTTCGTCTCGAACTTAAAAACTATCTCGAGCCTGCAAAACCTCATTTTCGGCCCTAGGTACGAAATATACTATTAAAGATTTTATTGTTATTATGTTTACAGATTTTATTTCAGAGTCTGTGTTTTCATTGTTTCCTTCAACTTCTTAAAATGTTCTCATTATTATAGTTACATACATTTAGTTTTACTTCCTAGATATTGGTGAATTTTGTTTTTCTTTGTTGTCTTTTCCACAAAAATTATTGGACTAAAGGTAAATTTAATTTATAATTCATTTTGTTATCCTTATCAGAGAAATGTTTTTGTTGTTGTTAAGTATTAGTTGAGACTCTCGTCCACACACAGAAGTTTTTATCTTCTTTTGGGTGTGTATATTTCTTCGCAAGTTAAAGCAAACTTTTTTTTGTAATTAATTAAAAATAAGTTTTGATTACATTGTAAGTTATAAACAATTTGTTTCTTAGATCATTGTAATTTTATTGTATTACTTGTGGAGAAATAAAGATTTACAAGCTGCTATACCCGTGCTTTGCAACGGGAAGAAAATGTGACCTAGAGATCTATTAAAGTGGTGCTGATGTGTGTTTTAAAATACAGCAACTCTATGATTTAGTTTGAAAATATAAACTGATTTAAAAGCGTAAACCTGCTTACTTTCAAACCCCTACTTTTGATGTTAATAGATCCCTAAGAATATTATAACATACCTTAGTGTAGCAATAGCATAAATTATTGCTTCATATTGATGCTTTATGAATGACATGTTTTACCATTTTCTTCAATTTTATTCAAGCCTCTTCACATGTAGATTACTATATAAATAAAAAAAATTAAACTTTGAGCAATACTTTACAAAAATTAACCTCACTTTAAAACCAAACATAACCCTCTTCAATCTACATAAAGCATCACACAAACATCTTATTCGAGTAAATAAACAAACACCAGTTCATTGTACTGACCAGCTGTTTCATTACGGTAACTAAATTAAATTAAATCATATAAACATTGGAAGCATGCCAGGCGTAGCCCTATGGAAATCAGCCTGTGGGGCTAAGCCCTAGGGAATTCGTCCATATCAATACTTTTCGGCAAATCTACACACTCTAAGCTTTATTTTGATGTGCCTTAAGCCAATATTTTTATTTGGTAAATGACCTTAACCGTTTACATAAAATTTGATTGTATCACTTTAATAATATAATAGATTATTATATTTTTGATAATTTACATGTAAATTGTTAGTTTATTTATTTTAGAGTTAATAATTATGTTAACAGTTTAATTTTAAAGAGTGATTGCTACTCACTTGGTGCATTCTTTCTGTTACTCTAACAGAAAATTAGTTGTATTTAAGACTTAAGAAAACCTTGATGATATATATTGTAATACTTGTAGGCTATTTATTACTTAATGACAAATAAAGATCTTGAATCTTGAACCCAAATATGGCAGCCGTTAAAATATTCAAAGTGGCAGATATATTTGAACTGCTGCCATTTTTTAATTGGTTGTCTGTTTGAGTTTTGGTTTGCAGCATTGTGTTTTACTAAATCAGACCTTTAATTTGAATACCAAACTTGACCTATGCTGCTATTTGAGAATTTGGTCTTACTCCTCATGGGCCCTTAAGAGGTAAAAATCTAATAATAGCTTCAAAGAGTAGACATTTGTTGATGTACTAGCAAGTTTTATTACTTTATCTACAAAGGTAAAAAATATACAACACCGTTCCGTGACTTTTCAATCACACTGTATATCACCATTGTGTAGGGGGAGAAAGTAAAAATAAAATATTTAAGAAAGTTCTTTATTGTTCAACTTTAAAAATAAGTACAGTAGAACCTCTTTAATCCGAACCCCCGTAATCCGAACGTCCACTAATCCGAACGCCTCATTGCTGTACTCTATTGGCCTACACAGAACAGTAGTTCTTCATTGGATACTGTATTTTTTGGTATACGCACTGTAATTGTTTCTATTGTAATGTACCGTACTGTTTATTCGCTATGTTTACTACTACTGTATTAAATAAAAACACTGTATTTCACCTTATAAAGTATTTTTTAATTTTCCCTAGCAATTGCTATGTAAAAACAACAATATGTTCTGTAATCCGAACTATTCAATAGTCCGAACTACCCCCGGTCCCAATTAGTTCGGATTAAAGAGGTTCTACTGAGGTTCCTTTTTTTTCAAAAGCATAGAGAATTTGTTTTTGTAACTTTTTGGGTTGAAGTAGAAAAGCAACTTGATATAATAAATAATCAAGGATAGTTTTTCATTTTTATTTAAACCATCAAAACGCAACTACCCTTTTTAGGAACAAACCTTTTGGCTGTTATTAAGCATTATTAACCATTATAGTAGGCCTACTTAAGCTTAAGTATTTTTTTATGTAGTAACTTCAGCGGAGAGTGAATTATTGTACTCCTCTAACTGTGAGGACTTGTTGATAATCTCGCCTATGTGTCAGGAGGTTCATCCCTGTGTCCGTGGTGCAGACTAATCTTGGAGAGGCTGAGGACATCAACTACAGCAGAAACACTGTTGTAGACTCCTCCTTTACACATCTACAGCAAGTGCTTCACTCCCTCAAGTATGTCAACAACCAGTTACTAACTTCTCAACAAAAATATTTAGTTAATTTTGCAATCCAAAATGTTCAGAATCAAAACATAATAATAATTGTATGTGCCGTTCAAAATATCATACAACACTATATTTATTGTCTATCATAAAACTGATGGTTTGTGATGAGTAAAGTTTGTTTACTCAACCGATTGGAACCTTGAAACTAAAACTTTGGTCAAAGTTTTGGGGGTTGAAGATTTGAGTTTTTTTATTGGATACCAGTTCCCAAACGTTAAATTATTGAAAACGTTAAATCCAATGTTTATTATTTTGAATAATTCTAGAAAATTAAAATTTGGAACTACATCATTATGTTTTTTATAGACCTATGCATTCTTTTTGTCTACTTGGTTTTAAGAAAGACTACCATAAGCATTTTAGGCCTCATGATTAGATTGTTCACAGTTAAAAAGGTTAAATACTTCTGTCTTCTGTCAATGATCCTTTTTATTCAGAAATTCAGCAACCAAGATTTCAAACCTAAAGGTTAATTTTCAAGCTTACCAAGTATTTTTTTGTTTCAGTGGATTAAGTAGCTCAAAAAATGCTATGGACACATTACATGTTGAAATGAATAAACATGTAGATGTTTTGGAACAGAATGTGTCCAGATTGCAGGCTGAAGTAGACTCCTACATACACAGAATTACTACTTCAAATCATAGCTTGAGTGGTAAGTTGATCACTTTATTTATTGTCGGGACCACATAAGTTTGCAGTTGGTGGCAGCCAATCGCAAGACAAGGCTAGTGCGACGTTGCCATATCGCCCGTTGACAACACTAATTAAAATATACTAAGCAATATATTAAAATCAGCTGGTATTAACAGATTTGGCAACACCGCACGGTTCTCATTGGTTCATTCAAAACCATATGGTAAATAGGCTCCTCCCTCAACTGCAAACTTACGTGGTCCTGACAATAGTTGATTAAGTCAACTATATCTTTAAAAAATTACATCCCAGACTGCATGCATTTCCTCTGAAAATATTGTCTCAAATGGAGGAATGTTTACCTTTTGTCTGGCAGTACATGACAATGATGATGTCTATTCTCTGATATCCTGAATGTCAAACAAAGATTTGCCATATTTCTTAAAAACCTCTTAAGTGTTTATATAAATAACCTAAAAGTAATCTTTATGTGCAAGCAATGGCATCGCAATATCTTTATACTAATGTTAAATATCAATTTAAAAATTTACTTTCTTAAATTATATAAACTGTAAATATGTCTTTAATTTTCTGCACCCCTCATCACTTTTTTTTTTAACAAATCCTGGAAGTATTCCGAACTTAACCTTTTGGTGTGCTAGTAAAAATTCAATTTAAATTCAATGCATGTAATGGTAAGTTACAATAAAAATAGCCTGTGTCTGTGTACTTATGAAACTAAAGTTTTCTTGTTTTTATCCAGTTTTATTACACATTTGGTACATTAGTTAGTATTTTTTTAAACACAACATACTAGCTTGTTTATGTGTGGATTCTTTTATTTACAGTAGTGGAACAGAAAAGCTTAAGAAGAGATCATAACATTCCTTCAACGTCAGCCAAGTTGTCTGCGGATGAGCTCTCTGTGGAATACTGACCTTGGCTCCTCTACATTCATCTGTTACCTCAGCAGTGTTACACTCATTCATTTTGTACAGTGGACCTTTGTTATGAAAACGAAAACATTAATAATATAAGTGACCCAAATATGTTACAACAGTGTATATTTATTAACATTGTGGCCTTTAAAATTATACTTAGTTGAAATATTTTGTTTTAGTCCTTTATTTTGTTCATTATTTTGTCACATTTTGTCCTTTATTTTGGTAATGTAGTAACTTTTTTTTTAATGTAGTATTTTTTCTCATCTGCCATTTCCCACAATAGTGCTCCATCTAACAAATTTAAATTGGGCAAAATGGCTACAAATACCTCCGCCGCAGCGAACCTGCCGACTAAGCGAGTTTCAATTTGTCTGAATTTATTTTCAATTAAATATTTTTAAATAACATTAGGTTTAACGAGTACATAGGTTTGCTGCTGCAAGGAAACTAATAAAGTTTATTTTTTTTGTAAAACCTTAATAGCTTAGTATAAAATAAATAAATTTGCCAAGTTTGATCAAAATATATCTATAAACAAGCAAACTACAACATTTTACAATATTCTCCATTAGATTAACATGGGAATTTTAAATTTACAATCTTTTGAATTTTCTCCGTTACTCTAGAGAGAAATTGGGAAATTTTTGTTTTGAGGGGTCAAAAATGAGAAAACCCAATTTTTACCCCATAAAACCCCCCGTAAAACCCTGTTCCCATGGTTGGATCATGCTGGTTCGCGAACTCATTCAAGTTCATCCCGCCTTACACCTTTAAACCAAATTTCATCAAAATCGGAAAAAAATTACTCAAGTTATCGTAACGTCTTTATTTATCCAGCGTACATCAATACAAAGTTCTATTTTACATGCAATCTTTTGTCATAAACAATTAATTTAAATTAAATTAAAGTAAATTAAAAAGCAACATTCTTAAAAATAAAACTAAAGGAGCATATCATATATATATATATATACATATATAAATCTATATATACCCCTGCTGCAGGAAACCTGCCAACTAAGCGAATTTCCATTTGCTTGAATTGATTTTCAATTAACCCTAGATGGGCATCGCACGTAAATTTGACGTAGGGCGAGTTATTTTTAGTTATTTTTTTATTATTCAAGGCCAAGTACCAGCTTGGGTGCAAGTGGCCATGGTAGTAAGTATATTATATACAAAAAATCAAAGTATTTGATACTTGGCGCAGTGAGTTTTTGTACTATTTCACACACTTAATATTCATAACTAGAGTACATGTTGCTCAAACTCGAGCAATTGCAAATTATTACAGGAGTTATTTAAAAACTAATAACAGTCATATTTACAATGAGTTTAAAAGAGTCAACTCAAAGATTACCGGTGTGTAACTTAGACCATGTTTATCTTTGTTATTGATAAACCTAAAGCATTCCGGCCGGTTTCATCCTTCTCAAAATGCCTCGCTGTACAGGCAACACTGGTCATTGATAGAGGGCCAATTGAGAACGAAAAGTCGTTTTGGGGTAGTGTTAGGGCGCATTTGTAACCTCATAGTTGAGTTTGTCCTGGGTCAGGTGCTGACTGTGATGAGTTAAGCCTATTACGCGCCACTGATCTGTAGCTGTGGTCATTATCACGATTACACCTCCTGTATATGTTTCGTTTTTGTCGCGTCCATTTAAAAGAAATAAACCACAAATAAACAAATTATAGCTACACAAAATAACGATAAATGTACAAATTTAAGTTACAATCATGCTAACACAATCTGTCATAGCGACACAAAACAACGATAAATACACAAATTTAAGATACAACCATAGATAAAACAAACTCCCTTATACAACCATACTAACACGACCCGTCTTGGGGGTTATGTTTACACAAACTCAAATAGTAAATAAATGTACTCAATGCGTTTCATTTCATTGAATTGAAAAATAAATAACAGCAATTAAATTATAAAGCTGATCAAAATGTAAACAATTATGTTCTTCATAAGGATAACATGGGAACTTTTAAAGCCACTGGGGCAGAGCCCAAGGGACTTTTTCAAAAATGTAAGGCCAGTTTGCAATTCTACGTGACACGCTCTTTCCAATGAGACGTCAATGGATAAAATCGGTTAAGAAATGGCGGAGGAGTTCAACCGACAAAGTTTCATGTAGCGTTCAAAATTTACAATAAGAATAATATATTAACATTGGGTATCGTATGAAATTCTACTTAAGTTTTATCGTAAAAGATAAAACCATTAACAAAGAAAAAACTTAATAAATATTTAAAAATTAAAATCCTTATTTCTATGTTGCGGAGTTAAGATGAAAGTGTCAAATACTGTATTAGCAAAAGCTTCCACTTATATAGCAAATATGCTTTAAATGATTTATAATAACCATTAATTGCTGTCACATTGCATAGTGAAATTCATGCGTCATTGGTATTCCTTGCTCGCTGGAAAAACCATGGTCATGCTAATAGACTGGTAATTTGAACATACTATTTTAAACACAAACTACTTAAAATTGGGTTGCCTCCTGATGTTTGGATACCGTAGTCATACCTAGAGTGACAAAATGATCAAGGCATCCTTTTCCATTCCTCGGAAAAATGAACTTTGCAAAATGCAGTAATACAATTATGAATTGTATACAAATAATTTAATTTGTAATTTAACCCGCTGAAATAGCCAACAAGCCAACAGTATAGATAGTGGCGTACCAAGATGGGGAGAGTCCGCCCTAGGCCCCACACCAACATAGGTCCTCAAATCAGGGCTGTATTCCCCTAATGGCGGACACAGCGACCGCTGAGGGCCTCAGCCTAGGAAAGGCCTCACTTGGGTCTCAAAAAAATGTTATTTATCTTGGAAAATAAATTTTGCTGTTAGAATATAATAATCTGTTACAGATACAATAAGATATATGAGACACAACTTTTCAAAACGAACTTATATCCTCACAATCGCAGGAAGCGTCTCCAAAGATTGCACGATTGAAAATCACGACAATCGAAAGATGTTAACGATTGCTCCGAGACCACAGAGACGTTCATGATTTTGCAGCAATATTGGGAGACGATGATGATGTCCTTGCAAATACGGAAGTTGTTCAGGATTTCACCACTATCATAATAGACGGTAATGTCCTCGCGATGGCGCAAGATGTTCTTTCACCATGGACGTAGAATACATCCACAATTCCTTTACAATCGCAGAAGATTCCCACGATTTTACTTTCACCACGACTTCAGGGGACTATAAATTTGTCATGAACAAGGCTGATTTATTTAATTTTCTATTCTGTTTCATGTTACCGATTTCGCTGCGATCACGGGGGACGATAATGTTGTCCCCGCACTCGTGGGAGATGTTAACGATTTCGTCTTAAAGGCAGGAAGAGGAGATGTAGAATATACCCCCCGACCATGAAAGATGTTCACTATTCCACCATGAACATAGGAAATGTTTACGATTGCTCCGCAATCTCGGATGATAACTATAATAGCTAGTAGGAAAAAGAGGGAACTACATAAGTTAAGAAAATTATCAAATTATGTCAACCAATATGTTAGACCTTATACACAAATTTTTAAAAAGGCTGTACAGTGGGCTTAAATTAAGTTCAATAATAAAAGAATTAGTTGTGCAGATAACAAAAATACAGTTGCTTGGTCTATTGTCAAGGAGGAAACTGGCAACAGGTAGCAGGATTTTAATTTAAATTTAAACAGAATCCAGAAATCAAATCAAATATAATAAAAGGCCTCAAAAAAAAAAATTGCAGACCTTTTTAATGATTTTTTCTTGCACACCAGTTGCAGCTTAATCTGATGGGAAATATGGGTAAAGCTAATAAATATTTAATTAATGCTGGTACAAATTGTACTGACTTCTTAGATTGTTTTAATAACAACCTCAAGTGAGATTAGATCCATAATCAGTGGATTGGAAAATTCCAGTTCCTCAGGATGGGATGGCATTCCCTCTTTTATTTAAAAATTTTGTAAAGACAGCAACCTTTGTCATACATCATCAACTTTCTATTAAGAAAGGTTTATTTCCAGATTTTCTGAAATATAGTATTGTTCGTCCAACTCACAAAAAGGAGATAAAACAATGCTTGAGGATTTCAAACCAATATCCTTTTTGCTAGTTTTCTCAGAGGTTTATGAAAAATTAACCTTTAATAGACTAGTATCATATTTTGAAACCATTAACATTCCTTATAGTAATCAGTTTGGATTTAAAAGGGGTTGTAATACTTCAGATGCTCTCTTTGAGGTCTCAAATTACATAGCAAGTGCCGTTGATGGATCACAGACGTTACAGTAGCCTATGCCATTGGCATCTTCTGTGATTTTTCAAGGGCATTTGACTGTTTAAATTACATTTTATTGTACAAACTTAAGTTTTATGGAATTAGACAAAAAGCTTATGATTTGGTTGAGTCCTATTTAAACTTATTAAATTGAAATTAAAAATGATCTTGATCTTTCTTATGACTGAATGGTTTCTGGCCAATAATCTTAAACTTAACAGAAATAAAACACATTGTGTGAACTTCCATTCTAACAGCATCAAAAGTAGACAGATTGACTACAACCCGTTAGAAGGCAGAACGAATTAACAAACAAATTGAATTGATTGATTGAATAGATTGATTGACAGATTGAATTAAGTCAAATTCAATCTTGCAACCTTTTAGGAACAAAATTAGACCCAAATCTAACATTGATCATATAAATCAATTGGAATCAAAGCTTAATGCAGCATTTCACGTTACTTTAGTGCTTTCTAAAATAATAGATGAAAAACTCAGATAATGGTATGCTTTGCATACAAGCACTCAAACATTGGCTATGGTATCGAGTTCTGGGAAAATGCAACAGATAGCAAAAAATATTTAAAATACAATTATACAGGGTGTTACACAAAAAACTTGCACATCACACTGTTTTTTTTTTATATGTATATTAAGGTAAATTTAGTTATTGTGTTTTGCTAAACCTATGGTTAAATCAAACTAAAGTATATCATCAATAACTAAATTGTACTTAATTTTTGTGTTCAAAAATCTGTTGTATATGTGTAACTATATTTAATTATCAAATGGTAATACAAAAGACTCATATTTTATCTTAACATAGCTTTCAGTTCACATTTACTTTATTTGATAAATTTGTT